CTATATAATTTACCCTAATATAAGAAGTAAGAAGGGTATTTAAGGAGCTAAAGTAATACTTTATATCTATACTTATACTATAATACTTTAACCTAGAGTTATAGATTTAAATATAAATAGATATATTAAAATAGGTAATAGCTAGTATGCTTACTCAGCTATTTAGAGTAGAATAATATCTAATAGTATTTTAGTTAAGAAAGCTTATTATAGTAGAGAAGAACTACTAAATATATAATTCTAAGTTACTAGTACTTTAAGTAATAGAGATACTATCTAAAAAAGAGTAAATTCCCTATCTTAGTATTATTTAACTACACTAATTTATACTACTTTATAATAATAAAGAAGCTAAATCTATATTAAATAAGGTAGGCAGAATACCTAACTACAGATAGTATCTATTAATAGATATCGCTAATTCTTACTATTTCTTAGCTAAGGAGATATATTAAAGTACTATATCTTTAGTATTAGACTATATATTTTATACTTACTTATTTTACCTATTCTAGTTAGTCTTAGTTAACTAGAATATATATAACTTCTAGTCTTATTACTCCTTAGTTATATAGAAAATTATATATATTTATAGATATAGTATGAATATGTCCTAGTTTAACCTCTCTATACTCAGATTACCAGCATAACCATATTACCATATTACATGCAATCTGACAGTGGATTTAGTCGAGCCCCTATTTCAATCTCTTCTAAGATTCTCCCTTTTCCCCTTCTCTCCACTGTTCTCCCGTGTCGCCACCCCACCCTATTACTTCTGTACATCTTTGCCAAAACTCTGCATGGCTACGACTACAATTACATGTGTTTTGATTCGCCATGAGCTTCCACTACGCTGATGCTCTCGAGGAACATAACTGGATTGGCGGAGGACTCGACGCTTATATCTACCACGTCACTCCAACTATTGTGGTGAAAACTGTTCGTCGCGACCGAACCCCTGAAGAAAAGGCAGCGGAGCATCCTTTCCTCAAGGAGATCGCGTTTTACAAACGTCTTAATGAGTGCCGGGATCGATGTCCGAATATTGTTGAATGTTTTCTCATGCTCCCGGACTATCTTTTTCTATCATATTGCACGCATAAGGCAATCGCCCCTCGCTTCTATGAACGCCAGGAGCGAGAGACAGGAACAAATGGTTTTCATGGGCGTCTTATCAGGGTCAAGGAATACGAGGATCCTGCTCTCATCGCTCGGTGGATACAACAAATCAGCTCTGCTCTTGAGTATGTGGAGAAAGTGGGCTTTTGTCACAATGATCTGCATGCGAGCAACTGTCTTCTTGACAGGAACTTCAACTTGAAGCTGGCTGATTTTGGTCGTGCCACCACCATTGGACAGCCACTTGAAGGTACCTTACCTCCACGAGCCAGACCAATACTTGCTGGACCATTGAAAGGCACATACGGTCTCTGTTCCGCCAGAACTGAACAGTTTGCGCTTGGGACACTTCTATACTTTATGGTATATGGCCATGAACCCTATGACGACATTATCCTCAGCGCCGCAGAATGGGATCGCCGATTTTGGGAAATGGAGTTTCCAGAACTTAACCGCAATGAAGTTTTCGATGGTCTTATTTCTGCTTGTTGGCACAATGTCTATCCTACAATGGCCTTGCTAGCGTACGACTTCAAGCGCAAGACAAAGGATATGGTCTGGAATGCAGAATACATCTTCATTGACTCTGCAAAGGAGACAAAGACCTGTGAAGCATTGGTTTGCAGAGGCTTGCTGGGACCTGAGTTGGCTCTCTGCTTTCAGCCGGCCTGGCGAAGATACCTACATGCTATTGTGAAGAGAAGCATGTTTATTTGGCAATGCTTTCTACAGAGAAGATTCTGGATCTGGTCTTGATGATCGGTTGGGGCTTGTACCATTTGACAAGCTGAGGTGCTTAGACTCATTGTCTTAACCCTAAAAAAGGACATGTTATGGTACGGTGGCTGTTTCATTCAACTTCGCGATTTTCAAACAAGAGGTGCTCTTGTCTTGTTCTATTTCCTATCCTGGGCGAAGGGGGCAGTGATTGGCACGGGCGGCTGCGGTAATGGGGCGCCAAAGATCGAGATGGACTGCGGCACTAAGCCTGACACGGATTGGTGCCATAACATCTTGCTCCACCCTCGCCCTCAGCAAAGCAGGTAGTCCAAAAAGAAATATAGAGCCAGTTCTCTTCTCGCTGCAGCATATCGTCTGCTGCCTCAGTACGTTTGAAACTTGTTGCCAAATTATAACTAATGATGTCATCCTGATAATCGAAGTCAAGGCTCTGAAAAAGAGGGAACCAGTTCTCTTCTCGCCGCAGAACATCGCAGAACTACGCTAAGATTCGAAATAAGTATAGGTGGCTAGCTCTTCCTCCTTCTGCTGCTGCTGCTGCTTCAGTACATTTGAAACCGGTCGTCAAACTATGGAGACTAATCATGTCATGTAGATATTTGAATTCAAAGCTCAAATAAACTCTATACACAAATGCCAACAAAACGAGTCATTACTTGGAGACTGTGCGCCATAGAGGCCCCGTCACAGTCGAGTGAGAATCACTAGCGTGACGCTGAAAGTGCATGACTTCTGCAAACCTTTTATCGCAAACATTACATGCAATAACAGTGCTTGATGCGAGGTTCTGTAGATGCTTTCGCTTGATATGCTTCGAAACATCTCCATGCGATGAGAATTGTTGCACACGCTTCTTGAGGGCTAGATTTTGCTGCCCCACACAAATAAAGCAAAACAAGGGTCGATGATCCTCTGTGACAGATTGAATAGCATTTTCGAGTGGGCTTGCTGATTTAGTCGGGACCTCAGCTTCACTTTCCGGCTTCTGATTATCGAGAAAACCGCGCTCGGCCACATAGCTTTCAACCCGTTTATTCTGTGGCAAACGGCATGTGATACCTTCCTCAAATTGACAGTAAGCGGCAACAGCATCAATAGCTTCAGTGCGCCGACACATTTCTTGGTCCAATGTCGGCGATGGCAGAATTAAAAGACGCTCGATCAATCGTTTCTGAGGCTCGGGTAGCTCCTCTGTGTGTCGTAGTTTTGCCGTCACTGATTCAACCAGTTTAGTCTCGGACAGCTGCCGCTGTACTTCCAACATAGGCTGCTCTTGATCGTATTTCTGCTGAAGCTGCGACAACAATGCGTTTCTAGCCCGTTCCCTTGCGCTGTTAAGCTCTTGCTTCAGCTTTTGAGAGCTTTCACAACTGGCCGTTCCCCGGTGGTGTGAGAGCGGACGGCCTAGTTGTTGGCGAAGTTCATCACGACGCTGGATGAGGACAGATATTTCGGGCCACTCGTTGACTGAGGTGGATTGGGCAGTCGTCAATTCTTGTGGGCGGTCAGGGTCAATGGTCCGGCTCATTCGACAAGCTGCATGCATGATATCATCATCTGGATTCAGACCTCGGATAATGGCAGCAAGGTTCTTGTCAATCCGTCGATCGAGGTAGTACTTTAGAAAGGTGCGAGTATCGGCGTGGTGCATGATCAGGTTGCGAAGTGAGTCACTCACAGCTCCTAAGACATACGCAGTCAGTCACTAGAAATTGCGCGACAAGGATTAAGTAGGAAGATGATTACCGCTGTTATCTAACGCCTTCCCAGCCCCGTATCGAAGACTATAAGGACGGGCAACTTGTCGGAACCCAGTAATGATACCAATACTTTTAACCCAGGGAAGAAGAGTTGAGTAAGGCAAACATTTATCGGTCGAAATCCCGATTCCTTGCAGTGTTCGCTCGGTCTGCCGAAAAACTGGTACGTCGGCCAGAGCGGGATCAAGCAGCAACGGAAGCTCGTTGCACCCATCCCGAATATGTAAGCGAGGAAGCTGTTCTGCGGATGTTAGGACCTCCTCCCCTTCAACTCTCTTGAAGGCACGGTCCGCAAAAAGCAGCCCCAGCAAGAAGACATGGGGACTGAGAACAAGCGACGGGTCAAATATAATCTCCGGCAGGATATATGTATTTCTTTCCAACAGTCAGCGGGTCGTGACAAGAAGTAATAAGCCTCAGCCGAATTAATGTGCTTACTCGTCCTTGGCGCCGAGAAATCCCTTCGTGTATTCAAATTTGAATTCGATCACGATTCTGTGAGGGCCGCCCTGCGGATCTCGGAGCAGACTGACTCGGATATGGCGATACCGCAGGCTCAGCACTGCTTGAGGGCGGTTGGCTGTGAGCCCAGCCAATTGCAAGAAAAGGCACAGCTCGATGCGATGCCGACCGTGTCCAAATTTTTTCTTCGTCGTGCTAATGGCCGTTTCCACGACCACAGTCAAGTCCTCCACAAACATAGTGGACTTTTCGCGGCCTTCCCAAGACAGTTTATGCTTTTGAGCTAACTTACAGATCACCTGTGAGATCAATCAGAACTGTCCTCACCACAAAGTCGGATAAGCCTTGAACACTTCTGTCTCCCTTTCTTTAGGGATGACTTCGTTTCTTACCCGGCGCATCTGTCGATTGATCTTCTTTTCGATCTTCTCTGAGGTTGCTCTTTCGAAGACGAGTCGAAAGACCTTCCAAAACGTCTCTAGTGAGCTTTTTCGTTTGATTCCAGGCAAGCGTCTTCCATTTTTGCCCCGTCGCAAATTCAAGGCCCTGTCGAGAAATGTATGCAAGATTGCAATGGACAGCTTCCGGAATTCTTGTTCAGGATCTTTGCAAAGGCAGGCACAAAATCTGATAGGCCTTAGACAAATCTGTGAAAAGAGGGAAGGATTCTACAGAGAAATGAGACGTACTGTTTCCAACGAGCCTCGACTTGGTCAAGTAGGACAGTGGTGCCTTTGCTATAATCCTCCTGTGTGTACACAGACTCGTCAAACTTTGCGAGTTGCTGGCGGTAATACTCGGGATAATGTTCATTGTCTGCAAAAAGTTGCGCAACATCACCAGCATCTTTGAGCTGATCCTCGTCGCAATCAGGCTCTGTCGGATCGGTGTCGTACTGCTCGTCGCTGCTGACGCTGGAACTACCTTCCCCGGTCTGCGAATCATCGTCATACGACTGAGACCTGGCCTGTCGCCGGGACCGGGCTATGTTGTGGTGGAATGGAGAGAATCAAGTGAGGAGGTGCGAGTGGAAGAAAATGTCGGAAGCCAAAGGGGTTGAGGAGGATGGGTAGTCGCCCCAGCCCCCATTGGTGGACCCCTTGTTTTGCTTAGTCATTGGAAAGCTCTCAGAGGGAGCCACTTTATCGCTGGTCCAGATGCACAGAGAATGATATAGAATTGGATATGAGATTCAATGACCGACAGACGAGAGCTGACTACAACAGCATGGGACATCCAATACCACAACAGACTAAAGAATACCGGTCATAGCGAGAGCGGCCTTCAGATCTTCAACACTTTCTAGTTTGGGGAGAACGGGAGAGGCTTCCCTGCATTGAAAACCTTGTGGCTGCCCGAGGTCATCTGCGCATGGGTTTCATTTGCCGTGCAAACACGCGGGTTGCCATTGGCCGTCTCAAACTTCCAACCTGTGATGCGGGTTGGCACAGTGTCCTTGACGGAAGACGAATCCAGCATGACAGTTCCTTGATCGAGAATGAGTTCCGACATGCAGCCATCACCGCAACCAAGGACCTGAAGGCCAATGAGGCTTGTGAGATTGTTTCTGATAATGTAGTTGATGAACTCGTCAAGGAAAAGCGGTCCAACATCAGACAGGTCAGGAAGAGGCCCGTCCTGCAGCTCATAAGCGCACAGTCCGTCCTTGGTGAGGGCGAAGATGTGTCCATGGACACTGGCGGGATCGATCTTTTCAATATCGGTGACCTTAGTCCAACGAAGGGAGGGGTTCTCAAAGTTGGTCCCAAGCATGACGGTGCTCTGGGGGATCTTGAAATGGCCGTGGATTAAGTGAATTCCAAGAATCTTAGCGGCATTGTGACGGGTGAACATTTCCGCTAGGTTCGTAATGTGCTCATCAGCGACGGGCCATGTGGGCCGATCAGGGAAATTAAACTTGGCAGAATGGCGGTGCATTGTGGGTTTTGGAGTTCCCTGTTGGCGCAAACGAGTCGGAGCCCTCATCACTATTGGTTTATGACATTTTGAATCTGTCCAGTGGCTGTGCAGTTGTTCGTTAGGCTGGGGATGGTACCAATGGGTGGGAGAAATGGAGGGGTAAATTACATCTGATTGTGGCTGTGTCGACAGGGGCTTTCGGCTAGAATACGAGCTGAGAACCGCTAGATAACTCTAAGATAATGAGGGGATATAAGGCTGACGCGCTCCCTCTGATAGAAACCTATTGTCATTACATTTTTCTATCCGCTCTCCGCCATGTCGCACCCACAGAATACCTATGGCGGACCTCCGCAACCCCCCTATAACAGCGCTGGGTACGCTCAGCCTGGCTCCCATCAACAGCATCAACAGGCCCCTTATTATCCCCCACAACAGCCCGGTGGATATCCACCCCAAGGAGCTCCCCCGCACCAATATCCGGCCCCTGGTCAGTACCAACAGCAGCCATATGGTGCCCCTCCGCCCCAACAACAATGGCCGGGCCATCCACCACCGCAACAATATCCTCAAGGAGGCCATCCACCACCGCAGCAGTATCCGCCTCAGGGAGCATATCCACAGAATCAACACCCTCCACCAGGCCATTACCCCCCACAGGGACAATATCCTCCACATGGCCAATACCCCCCACCGGGCCAAGGCCAATATCCTCCCCAGGGAGGTTACCCGCCGCAAGGCCAACCCGGCTATCCACCCCCTCAACCAATGCCCACCCCACCGTCCCTAGGCTACGACCCCAACCAACGTGCCCCCGGCAACGCAACCCGCGAAGCCGAAGCCCTCCGTAAAGCAATGAAAGGCTTCGGCACGGACGAAAAAGCCCTCATCAACATCCTGACCAAGCCCGACCCCCTGCAAATGGCCCTCATCAGACACACCTACACCGATCGCATCGGGCGCAACCTCGAAAAAGACCTCAAGTCCGAACTCTCAGGAAACCTGGAAGATGTCCTCCTCGCCTTAGCCAGGGGCCCGCTCGAGCAGGACGTGACTTTCGCGCGCGATGCGCTGTCGGGAATCGGGACGAACGAAAAGGCCCTCAACGACGTGCTGGTCGGCCGGTCGAATGCCGACCTGCGCGCGATCAAGTACGCGTACGTCGGCAAGTACCAGAAGTCGCTGGTCGATGATATCAAGAGCGATTTGTCCGGCAAGACGGAACAATTCTTTGTCATGTTGCTCAATGCCACGAGACCGGAGCCGGGGACATATTTCGATGCCCAGTCTGTTGACGCTGATGTCCGTGAGATCCACCAGGCGACGCAGGCGCGCAAGGGGACAGACGAGACTGGTGTCTCGGCGGTGTTCCTGGGTGCGTCGGATGCGAAGCTTGTTGCCATTGCGCAGGCGTTCGAGACCAGGTATCATACCAGTCTGGCAAAGGTGATTAAGGATGAGTTCTCGGGCCATCTGGAGGATGCGTTGCTGTCTATGCTGTCCAAGGCAAAGGATCCTGTTGGTCATGACGCGGAGAAGATCCTGGAGTGTTTGCCTGCTGGTGGAAATGCGAACCTCAAGCGGTTGATCTACTGGGTTGTTCATCTGCATTGGAACCCGCCTCATTTTGCTGCAGTCAAGGCGCGACTGAAGCAGAAGCTGGGCCACGATATCGGCAATCAGTGGAGAGGAGCCATTTCTCCAGGAGATTTTCATGAGGCTATGCGCCAGCTGTGGAATTCAGCATGAGATGATTGTCATGAATAGGGTCTGGGTAGATCAGCTACTGGTATCTTTAATGTTTATTCTTCATTTTCAAACAGAGACGCTGAGTTTTAGGAAGATGGGATTCAACTTGCTAATACTATGAGTCTATGAGAATATTTGTGTTTTCAGAAGCCATTTTGCATCAGGGATTCAAGGTAGTGTGATAAGTTCAACTATCTAGTGACTTTGTACAATCTGCACTCTGTGGTTGTTATTAAGGACTAGTAGGCTCTTAGGCTAATATTATTCATCTAAGGTACTCCTTTATAGATGACTCATTTCTGCTCTTCTCTTGAACGTAGCCTGATCAAACTTGACATAAAGTGGAGTTCCTGATATCCTATTTTGTTGGGAAAGTATGGGGCAAGAACAATACTAGTCTCATTTCTCAGCCTTTGATGCACACTGTACAGAATAGACTGAAGGATGACTTCATTTACCTGACCTCTGCCCTGGGGGATATGTAGGCTTCCTCAACTATATCTAGCCCTGTGTCTCTATTGTACAGTAGCCCATTTCTCGTTCTGTTCTTACGGCCCCTTACTACGAAAACTTTGAGATTCTTCTGCGAAGTCTAGCACCGCACCTACAGTGCTGGGGCAGAGGAGAAAGGTTCCAACTTATGGCTTGATGGAGCGGAAGGAGATCAATGAGTTACCAAGCCAGAATTGCTCAAATAGCTCCAAAGTGTTTTTGGCGGATCTGTTCCATCGCCAGCTCTTCCGACATTGGTTGTAGGAACTTGTCAATCTCATTGATCCAGAAAGAGTTTTGTGGGTTGACTTGGTAGGCAGAGGTGTATTCCCAATATGACGGGTACCAACCAGCAGTTTCCCAGTCAATAATACCAACAATATCATCTGCGTGAACAAGAATGTTGAGGCTGCTCAGATCGCCATGAGTAAATACCAACGGCCAAGACTTGCTTTGTTGTTTGATAAGGCCCTGAATTTCAGGGTCAAGCCTAGAATCAAACTCCATGCCCATGCGTAAATGCCGATGGAATTCCTGGATGGTATTGAAGGGACCGAAGCGCAAGGAGGTGCCTGGTACACGGCAGTCAAAAAGTGATCCACCATTAACAGAAGCAACCCCTATGCCTCCTGGGGGTTGAAGCTCCCGCATCTCAGTCACCATCTTTCCCAATTGTGAAAGAAGTTTTGCCTTTGACTCTTCACTTCGTTTTACCCAACCACTGCCTATTATATCCCCCTTAATCCTTTGCATCAGGATGTACGTCCATCCAGAATGAGTAAATGCACACAGAACTTTTGGTACTGGTATAGACGTATGCTGTGATATGAAACGCATCGTTGACGCTTCAGATAAATGTACACGGCTTCCGTATTTGATACATAGTCTGTCTGTCAACATGAGAACGTTCCCATGGCGAGGTCGAATATGCTTAAGGATTTTGACTGCTAGAAGTGTCGAGTACCGATTCCAAGCATTATCATTGACTGGCTTGGATGCGTGCAGCGAAGGGGTGGATGGCAAAGAAGGGCCATTTTGACCCGACGACATTGAGACTGTGAACGCAGGATGGGAAGTGCTTGAGGGATAATTCCATTCCTCGTCTGCAAGTACTAGATCTCTTATATATATAGAAGAATAAGATAACTTTTCTATTAAGTATTTCTCTTAGGTAGATAATAAATATAGTAAGCCTATTAAAAATACCCTTTATGTATTCTTCTAGTAATATAATCTCTACCTTAGGTATATCTACTAGATCTATATTAGGCTAATATTCTTATATATATAGCATAAAATTAATTAATAGATTAATAGATACTAGCTATAGCTAACCTAGAATAAGGTTATAGTCTAGTATATCTACTATATATAATTCTATCTTAATACTCTAGGCTATTCCTAGTATATCTACTGCAGTGATATAAAGATAGTATCTCTTATATAATATTACCTTCTAGCTATTTACTACCTTAACTTAGTAGGGTATGCCTATTACTTACTAGCTAAGGTTCTCCTTTACCTAGTATTAACTAATAAAGTTATCTTATATACCTACATCTAGAAGTATATTATTAATATACTTCTATTCTATAGCTATATTCTTAGTTAGGTTATCTATAGCTATATCTATATTAAGTAGTATTACTTTTAGTTTCTTATCTTTTTTAGGCAGGCCTAGTGCTGCTACTATATATAGTATTAGGCTATCTAGTTTTTTAATTTATTATTTTTTATATCACCTCTTATATACTTTAGACACCTAATAGTAATATAGCCTTTATTATTATAGCTATAGTATTTAATAGTACTCTTATCTTCTTTAGAGTTTTACTCCTTTTAGTTATAGAAACTATATTTTCTTAACCCTAGGCCTCTACCTTATCCCTAGTAGCTGCCTCAGCTGGATATTTCTATTTTCTTAGATAACTAGCCCTTATGCTTAGTCATCTAGTTCTTAATAAATATAACCTTATTAATATAATTACTATATAAGATATTCTCTATAATCTAGTATTATAGAATCTTATCTTTAATACTAGGGAGTAACTTTATCTAGAGGTACACCTTCTACTTATTAGTATATTTAATATTAAGCTAGGATTTCTATTACTCTAGATATACTATAAAGTTAGCTACTATCTATAACTCTAGCTACCTAGCATCTATATATTTCTATAAGGTACTATATACTAAGGTCTTTAGATTATTTATTTACCTTAGTAGGAATTAGGTGAGTTACTTCTACATCTACTTTATAGGTAATAACTCTTAATATCTTATTTACTAACTTAGAGTCTTATATATAAGTAGTAATACTACTACTTATATCTTCTAGTATTCTTTAGTATAGTATTAATAGTACTATTTAAAGTATACTATTATACTATTAATAAATTTAGTATAGTTATTCATATTTTTAAATTAGAAACCTATAGAAAAAGGGAC